GGACAACATGTATTCCACCACCATCAACACTACTACTAAGAATAACAATAATGCCAACACAACAACATCATAATAAAAGAATAGAAATACTGAGAATAATAACAGAAAATAGAAGACAATGACAATCACACAATAACAATCAGATCCTGGCATCTATGAGGAATGCGCGCGCCAAGGAATTCTGGCGACAGTTACGATCCCTGCCGATGTTTCCGAATCTGAGGTTGCCAAAGTGTTACCAGGCTCAAATGTCCCCAAAATTTCTAAAACCTGAAATGAAACAACATTGGCAGGGATCAATTTCCACCAAAATTCCTAAAATCGGGGGCAAGGAATTTTGGGGAAATTTGATCCCTGTCGATGTGTTCGCATCCGAGGTCGCTAAAGTGCTGCCAGGCCCGAATTTCCCCCAAATTCCTGAAGCTTGAAATTCAAAATACATCGGCAGGGATCAACCTTCCCCCAAATTCATGAAATCCTGGCATCTCTGGGAGTGCCGGGGCTGTAGTAGCTCAGTTTTTGGGATTTTTGGGGAACTTTGATCGCTGCCGATGTTTTCGCATTTCAGGCTTCAGGAATTTCGGGGAAATTTGATCCCTGCCGCTGTTTTCGCATCCGAGGCTGCCCACCTCCCATGATCCACTGCTTACAAAAAGCAAGCAGGTTCGGCTGGATCATGCGGGCGGGGGGCGGCGGGGCGTGAGCATACATGTATATATATATATATATGTATACATATATATATATATATAGAGTGTGAAGCCAAGAAACCGGTCTTGTAAAGCGAAGCAGACACGAGCTCTCAACTGTTCTCGCTGGGCAGCAACCAACAGGCTACTGCTGCAGTACTACCGTGCACACTTGGCACACCTAGTTACACGAGGCACTTGAGCCAAAAGTTATTGGCATTCGAATCTTATACAAACATGCAAGAAACATCCAGCAGCTGCACTCGTACAGACACTCACATGCACTCATGTCAGGTCACAATCGCCCCTCAGCCGAGGCTCCAAGTGAGTGACGCGGCTCTAGCCGGCAGGGGCGAAGCCCGCACGACACACGAACACATGCTCTACCAGCAACCTTTAGCCCTCAACACAAACAGGCGACGCGCAGTCTTCGTTTTGGCACGACGGGGTCGAGGCTCCAGATCCCCTAACTGACAGGTGCCTAGAGTACGTGTACAGCGAAACTCGAGCTACAAGTTCAGTTGCGATTTGGTTTTGATTCAGCTTCGGATTCACTTGATTTTCTGTTTTGTCGTTGCTTAGCATCACATGAGGAACGCCAGAGTCCAGAGCGTTCTGGGCCGGCTGGGGCGGCTTTTGGTGCTCAGGTTGCTTATGCTGAAACGAAAGGAGGGGTTGGGGTGGAGGTCGGTCCGCTGCGGAAGAGGGTTGGAGGCTCCGACCGACCGGAAGTGAGGCGGGGTGAATCAAAAGTGAATCCAGATTTGGGGGGAGAGTGAATCGGAAAGTGAATCGGGAAAGGACCCCCTCCCGACACGCCTCGGAAAGGGTTTGGGAGGCCTCCCTATATTGGGAATATTCAGTTTTGATTCACTTTTCATTCGCTTTTGGGATTCGCTTTGATTCACTTTGGATTCATCCATTCACTTGCGATTCACTTTTGATTCACTGTTTTTGAGGGGGTCCAGGCCCACCCCGACCCTTCCAAACAGTCCGCGGGGGGGGTGCACTCCGACCCTTCCAACCACTTCCAGGATGGGGGTGCCCCGACCCACAAGTCACCAGCCGGCAGCCGAGCCAGAGGCCAGTCCGCCCGACCCCCCACCAGCCGGCTAAAGTAGACTAACTCCTTCCCGTTTGCCTGGCAACAAATGACAAACCCACAGCTTAGAGGACATGCCAAGTAGCAGTGTAGCGAGTCGCGTTGTGTGTGCGTTTCACAGTCACGGCCAGATCCACAGGATTGACAGAAGGCCGTAATTCCAATCCAGGGGTGAATCAGGAAGCGAATCACAAGTGAATGGCAAAGTGAATCGCGAAATCAGAGCGAATCCAAGTCGAATCAGCCAAGTGTTAGAATGTGAATCCAGAAAAGAAAACATTCTTTGTTCCGGGCCTCTGCCAGAGATACGATGTCTTAGCCCAAGCTGCTTGCTACCGAAAGCTTTTGACAGTTGATGTGCTGCACTATCGCAGGCGCAGCCGACGGTGTCGTGGGTGGCATGGTGGAGCGCGAGGCACGCATGCAATCATGCAATCCTTCCTGTTCGCTTCGCTTCTCAGCTTGTGGATCGTACTCCAAAGCAGAGAGAGCGCAGTAGAAGTCAAAGAGATGGACCGAGGATGTATGCCACACAGTATTTTGGCAAAATGCTTTAAACTCAGGGGAACATGAAGAAATCCCACTGTCGAAGGAACACGAAGGAGAGTGCAAGCCTCCACACATCTAGTTTGAAGTAAGCTACAGAGCAGTTCGACAGGAATCATGTAGGAAACGATCTTGCAGTATTACACTACTATTATTCTCTTTTCCTTTCGTTCCGTGAGAGAAGCGGAGCGAAAAAAGGAACACCTGGAAGACTAACCTGAGTGTGGGAACGTCTTACCATGCTGGTGTCAATTGCACCACGTTAGTGTCTTTCAGCTCCATGTCGAACCCGCTACGGCGGTATAATTCATGACCTAAGGATTATACGAATGCATACACGGCAGCACACATATGACAAGACTGGGCTTAGCATTGAATTTGATGCCACTTGTGCGTGGTCCCTGGTGAACTGCACGTGTAACACCCGCAAAATCTTCGAGAGAATCGGATGCAGAAAGAGAACAACACAGTGCGGTCAGAGAAAATGCATACCATCGCGCAGGAATCACGAGATCTGGATCGACACAAACAAAAATTCGGAGAGTCCTACTGTAGCTTCACAGAAGCCAACCTTGGCCTTGCTCGCCCTGTCTTGTTCGATGTATGTTGCACCGATTGTGCAGGCATCAGAGCTGCTGCAGGAACTGCGGGGACAAGATGCCCTGCCTCTCATCAGCAAGTCTTCATGTCCATCGATTCTTCTGATCTGAGCGGTCCGCTACAATGCCTGGAAGCATAGTAAACTTGACGAAGAGCCTGCGAGCAAGCAACGCTACCCAGGGTCCTAGTTTCGGGCTGCTCTGCTCCAGGATTCATTAGCACATGCGGCCCAACCGAGGCCACAGCAAGAGGCTGAGGACTCGGGCTTGTTGGTGCCCGGCTGTCCCTTGCATTGAAACGGTCGCATCTGAACTTGTATCTTCTTGCACCTTCCAGTGACATTGGAGCAGGATGCCTTGCGGCTTCTTCTCTTCCGTCGTTTCGGAGCTGTGGGCGAGGTTCGCTTGCACCGGGATCGGCTTTAGCCTCGAGCTCGCAAGCAGACGGCGACGGAGTACGCTTCGTACAAAATAAAGCTACTGAACCGTCAATCCACCCTTCCCAGCCCATCGCGTTTGACTCCGAAGCATACCAGACCCCTTCAGCTCCAGAGAGGAAAAGGACTGGGCGGCAGCGGCTGCCAAAGCAGTGGCAGATGCTCCAGAGGAGGCTGGGGCGGCTCTTGAGTGGTTTAGTGCTCAATCCGCTTTGCGGTCTTGTCTCCTCCCAGGTACCAGCCCACCGCGCCATACGCTGCGCAGCTGCAGCAGCCTTTGGGCCAGCAATTGCCACAAAGGAGGTCGGAGGGTTGTGTGCGGTTGGGCCGCGTTGGGAAGTTGGGCCTTTGTGAGACGATCTGCAGGCAGCAAAGGCACTCGTGGCCGTGGCCGAAGAGGGCTGGGAGAAGGCGCCTTACTTCCGCCCCTTCATCTCCACGAGAGCACGAGAACGAGAGCCAGTTGAGCCTCTCTGTCCGAGGCAGCCGGGCGCCTGATGCAGGCAGGAAGCTGATGGAAGCTGTGCCACTGCGACTTGTCTCCTCGGTGCATGCCCGAGGCAGCTCCGGCAATGGTGCCTTTGGGGGAGTGGCTCGCGTGGGAGGAGGTCTTTGCCGCCCAGCCGGCACCTCGGTCCACGGTGCAGAAGGCTGCCTACAGGCCTACAGCGTGCCATCTCGCTCTAGCCGAGCGTTGTGTCAGGGTCGGCAGCTTGCGAGAATTCCTGCACCGGGAAGCGTGTTGGCCTCAGCACTGGAGCTGCAGCCCGCCCAAGGCGCGGCGTACAGTGCAACCGCGATACCCATCATGCAGCCGTCAAAGGCCTGGGCTGGGAATCTTCGCCTTCGAAGTCGACAGCGACTTCATCAAGATGGATGCGGCATCCGGTACAGCGGAGGTGGCCTCGGGAAGATGATGGATATGATGGGCCGATGGGAATTGTCGCGAAGCGAGGGTTCAGCAAATGCGCTAGCAAACTGCATAGAATGGGAAACGGTGTGTTTAATCTCACGGCGGGCAAGGCTTTCAGCGCTGCATTGGCCGCGCAAGATTCCACAAAGGCGGCAGAGGCCGATGGAACTATTCGTCATGCAGCTTGCGCAGCGGCAGCGTTAGCTCCCGTGGGTTTGCGGGCGGATCCGGGTTTTTGTGCAGGCCATGCTCGCTTTGGTGCACAGCTGTGGTGGGCTGCAATCCGGTCCTTTGCAGGTCTGGGCTCGACAGATTGAGACAGAGTGCAAGCGTTCGCTGAGTCTCTTCCCAGGTGCTGCAACCTGGGCTCCGCCAGGCGGCAGCTTCCTTGGGCGAGGTGGGGCCAACCCAAGAAATGCTCCTCCCCCCCGCCAAATCCATCCCCACGTGACGTACACGGTTGAACGGGCCCATCAAGCTCTCCCTCGTACATCGTGCAAGGTTGGCTTTGCATTTTACACCCCGCTGTATTTTGGGGGCGCGAGAAGTTGGAGCTGAAAACCTGGTTGATAAGGTCTTAAATGAGGAATCTGCTAACCCTCGATACTTCCCGGCATTGCCTCATTTCCCGACCAACTCGCAGACTACCAGACCCCTTGTTGTGCTTGTTGTGCATGTCACTGCTGCAAGCATGACTTGACCGCATGAGCTCCATGGGTGCTTTGTCGGCAACAGTGAGAACACCTCGTCGTCTGGCTTCTGCCCGCTTTGGCACGGTCAATGGGCTTGCGCGTCTTGTCTCACGTCCTTTCGACATGATGCCACGCCGCAAATGCGGTACCGAAGGTGTTGACATCGTCCAGTCTTCCGGTTAACTAGAATCTATAGAGCCGTAACGGTAGCTTGTGATGACGCGTGGGTGGATGGAAATTTGGAGCTGCCCGCCCTCCCTGTCTGTGTCTGATGCCAGTCAGGCCTATGCAGCGTTGATGGCGCAGCTGCTGCAGCAGCTTCCAAGGTTCCACATCTGCTCGCACCACGGTCACGGAGAAAGCTTCAGGGAACTGTCCAGTCTTGGCCAGTGGAGGCCGTTTCGAGAAAACACGGAGGCGCTGCTGGCGAAGTTGCGTGTTGATTCCTGTCCTTGGGCCGTAGGCATCCCTTGACACTAGCACAGCGTGAGCAGTTTCAGAGTGAGACATCACACGCTCCATGGTGCTCTCGACAGGTTTTACGAGCGGTGCTGGAACCACTTTCAACAGAAGCCGACCTTCATCGATTCGCGGAGGCTCTCGGAATCGCTCGGACTCCCCGGCCCAGCTGGTTGCCGCTGCAAGGCCGCGCCGCTCTTGGCAGACAGGGCGGCGCTTCTTGGTGCCGTGAAGGCATCCCGGCGCGAGACGAAAAGAAGAGAGGAAGGAGAGTCAGAGTGCTGGACTTCATTTCGCCGCTTCGCGAGGCTCCCTTTCTCCTGCGCCGTGCTGCCGAGCGCCTGGCCACGGCCACGCGCACCGTGAAGGAGGCCGTGGTGCTATTGCCAGAGCAGGGACGCGTTCGTCTGGATCTTGCCAGGCTCCGGCGACATGGAACGGCGGTTCTGCCACCACCACACGCACGCAGCCTTCTACTACAAGGTGTGACGAGTTAACCGGAGAGCACAGGGGTAGACCAAAACTTAACGGGCATCGTTCTTCATTCCCGTATTCGAAGGGCACATTGTAAATTGTAGCTCCGTGGGTTTGATGCTAGCGGCTGACTGCTTCGTGGAGTCGAATCTTACCGCAGGACAGCGGCAGACATTCCAGCCGCCGTATACACAGCGAAATTCTCATGCGAAGGGCTTCGTGGTTTCAACACAAGATAAATCAGCATGTCTTCCCGAAGTGTCTGTTGGAGCTCACGCCTAGAAGATGCTCCCCACGGTTAAGTATCTTAAATTTGTTTCCAAGTAGATTCAAAGCAAGGAGTCAAGGTCCCAGAACGTACCGAGCCGGGCTCCTGAGTCTCTGAGATCTTCTTTTTTTCGTTCTCTGCGGAGCCATGGCCGTGACGACGTTCTCCGATGACGCGGACGATCTCTCGGATTCGCCTTCTTCCTGGCGATGTTCCTCGGACGCACTTCGAATAATTAGCATTCCGCTCCGGCCTCACATTGTCTCACGCCCTCCGTGTCAGCTCCCGCTCACTCCCTGAGCGGTCCAGACTTCGCCGCCTGCGGTGCGGTGCTCGTTGCGGCAGCCGCGCAGCGTCGATGTCGAGGAAGGTTTTGTTTTGACATCCAGGGAGGGGTCCAGGGAAGTTTGTTGTTTCGATCTCGCTTGGAAGGGGCTGGTCGCAAGTCGGACGTGGCGCTGGCAGAAAGGCATCGCACAGATCAGCGCGGAGTGCGATCAGCCTCTACGATTGGAAAACTCGGCCATCTGTAACACAAACCGACCGTCTACAGATTGACTGTGGTCATGCGTGGTTCCTGCCTGCAGGCTTCCGATTGGTTTTGCCGCCCTGCTCTCCATGGCTACTGTAGCCTTGGCCACTGTCTGCATCCCAGGTACATGTAGCAGCCGTAGGTAGCGAGGATTTCCTGACAAGAAGTCTTCCCGAGGCCAACCGAGTCATGTACAAGGTGGCCCTCGTGCCGCTTGGAAACTACGTTTTCTTCCTGGCACAGTTCACCACCTTCGGCTCCCAAGCAGAGTCAAAGTGAGAAGAAGGAGCTTCTGAGCCCTTCAATCGTGCCTCAACGCGCAGTAGATGGTGGTTACAGGCTGCTTGATGATGGCTCAGGTTACGTCCTCGCCTACTGGATGGCTTTGATCTTCAACAGGGCCCAGGGTAGCGAAGCCGCAGCAAGCAACTCACAACACACGGTCTGAGCCTGCGATGTGGGTGCTGGAGCATCCCATCTCGAGGTAATGTCACGGACCAACAGGTGACTTTTGCGAGGCAGCGCTGGCTGACGTTTGCGCGAATAGGCGTGCGGGCGTGGAACACGTGTTCTCGCATGGAGCCGGGTGATGGCCACAGCGAAAATTCCAAAAGCCTTGACTGTGCTCAGAGCAGGCGCCTTGGAAGCTGGATCGTTCCTGCTGGGAATGCTGGGGGCCAAGGCGCTGCCAGGCACTTCTCCTTGCGGTCGGGCCCAAACTTGTCAGCGAAGCGAATGTCAGCTGGCGAATGTCAGCTGGACAGGGTCGATTCTGCCTGTACTGGGCCAGCTGTACTTGGCTCGGCCCTCATGTCGAAGCTGGGTAGCATTGCGAACGGACCAACTTGGCAGAGGGTGCAACTACACAGGTGTTTCAGATGACTTTCTCTTCCACGCTACTTGGGCGCACCTTGGCTACGGCTACGACTTGACTGGTATCGCCCGGAGCACTTTGGCGCTTCTTCCGAGTGTTTGCCCAGGTACATACAGCTGGCGGGAGCTCGCAGGCCACAAGCCCACAGCTTCGGCTCGAGCTTGAGACCCAACTCCTGAATCCGAAAGGATGTGCTTTCTGCGTGCTGGGCGTCATCCTCGCCTCTGCAGGCCGGGAGAGGCTCAGAAAAGAGGATGAAGGAGAGGGGGACTTTTAATCGAAGAGAGAGAGAGAGAGAGAGAGCGGAACGAAGCGGAACGAAGCGGAACGAAGCGGAGCGTAGCGGAGCGGAGCGCTTTTCCTCCCTCCTTGGGCAGGTGGGCTCCTCTTCAGCGGCTCCGTCGGCTCCGCCGGGAGCTTCCAGGTGCCCTGGCGCCCGTCGCTGCTCTTCGTCCTGTCCCTGGCCTTGCCCGCGCTCGGCTCCGTGCTGAAGGACGGGTGCCAACGGCCGAGTCTGCCGAGTCTGTGTCAAACCTGATGCCAGGAGGGACTCTTCAAGGATGCTCGGGGCATCTGTGGCGAAGAGCTCAACGTCTTCGTCGTGAACACGCTGGGATCCTCCTTCCAAGCTGCTGTGCTGAAGCTGTCAGGAAAGCCGCTTCCGAAGTAGAAGGCAACTTTTGACTCTGCTGAGGCAGTTGGGGTGTTCCTTCTGCTCCCAGTGCTCCTTGGCCGAACGAGTTTTTTCACGCTTTCCTGGTGACTTGGGACGTGTTGGGACGTCTTGGGAGGCTGGCCTCGCTGCAGGGCCTGGGCGCCACGCCCAGTGCCATGGCCGAGTACCTCAATGCGGGTGCAAACGCTTTCGGGCTCGGGCCCCGGGCTTCAGCGGCTTCCGCATTTCAGATCGGCCGATGTCGCAAAGCAGAGTCGCATCCACCGGCAGGTCGCAACCCTTCTGGCCGTGCTTATACCTTTGCCTGAACTTGGGCTTCAATGTGACCTTGCTGATCTTGCTCCGAACGACCTCGGCGGTCACAGTCTCTAAGCTAAATGGTGCCATTCAAAAGCGGCGTCTTTGCCATTGACTTGTCTGTTCTTCATGCGAAAGGTTTCGCTTTCGGTTGCGGCTGCAGTGCCCGCTACCGCGCTGGTTTTCGCTACCTGCCCCTGGGCACGAGGGTAGATGCTCCTCCAATCTCCTCCATGGGCTTTTTCATGCGCTGTTCCTGCCAACGCCAAGTGCCGAAGCGGGACACATTTTTCGTCCCTCCAAGGTGACATTCCTCTCCTTGGAAAGGGTGAGCCTCTCGACAGGCCGACGTTTTGAAGACGTTTTGTCTTGGCTTAGCAGGTCTTCGATGGAGTCATGTAATGTCTCTGCCAGGTGGTTTACCGCGGGCCTTGCCCTGATTCTGCTCGGGCTTGGGCTGTACCACGGATGGCTTCAGAAGCTTTATCCAGCCAGCAGTGCAGCGGGCCTTCGAAGCTCTTTACTGCCGGGCAAGTGAAGCTGCCACCAAGAAAAGCTCAATTTTTGCATGGCCATGGGATGTACTAGGTTTGGGACTTGCGGGCTTTTTGGATTTCACCCAGCTTTCGACTATGAAATTCGCGTGGCTCGTAACCCTTATTTGCGATCTAGTGTATGAAGGTCTCGGTAGTATTCGTAGTATTGGTCCTTCTCTTCATGCCTGGTCGAGTTGGTGGGATTCGTTGGCAAAGTCAGGTTCTAAGAGTCCATGCAAGCCGAGACAAACATGCAGGCTGGAAAGCGAGTTGCAGTCGTCCAAGACCCAGGACAGCATGTCATGTTTTCCTCGCTCCTGCTTCGCTTCTCGGACTTAAAACGCGGCGGCTCAGGAGGCTGCGAGACCCGCGGCAGCAGCGGCACAGGTCGAGAACGCAGCATCTGAGCCAGTCTGAATGTAGGCCAATTTATTCAAGCTTTTTGCAGACCGCTGTCACGCTTTGGTGGAGACCTGTGGAGAGCTCTTGCATGGACTGACGAAGACTGCCATATGAGGCCAGCAGCAGCTCGGTTCCTGAGGACGGGGCCGAGGCAGCGTTTGAAGCGCGTTTTTCCCCGCGGTGCTTTGACATTCCTTGCAGGGCTTGGTGGCTGCCATTCGTCGCGAGGACCGGAAGAGCTCCTGCACTTTTGGTCCAGGGCCACAGAGATTTCGGCATCATGACATAAAGGCAACTGTCGCATGCATCTTGGTGGCTTCCATAATTCGGCCTGCAGGAAAAGGAGTGCGTATAACTCCTGTGTTGTAGTCTGAGAATTCTCCCATGTGAACGGTGTGTTGCGGCATCGGTCGATGCGCCGTCTGTTTCAGACATGGCTGCTCCTTCAGCTGCACGGAGTGCCCGGTGTTCGTGTGGACAGCGAGAACCAAACCAGCCACGGCGTTACATCTACTGCAGGTCCGATGTCGACGGTAGGAGGCAACAAGAACGACGCGCTGCAAAAAGTGGAGGACATCCTTTCCGTTGCAATGGGTAATCAGTCCACCTCCGGAATCGTCGGCGTGGCCAAAAACACAGAGGGGGACTTCGCGACCATGAAGACTGCCTTTTTCTTCAACCTTGCCTCCTCGCTGGCAGCTTTTGTCGCGTTCACAGCTCTTCGGGCTTTGGTCCCGGCAGTATACGGCAAAGATGCCGAGGAGGTGGCAGCGGCCAACGACGGCCCAACGCCGCTGCTCGCACTGGAGCCCCCAAGATACCGCGTGCGCAACCTTGGTGATGTGGCCTCGGCTCTCTTTGGCTGGATCTCGGTTGTCCGAACCATGCAGGATGAAGAGGTCGTCGCGAGGTGTGGTCTGGATGGCCTGCAGCTGCTGGAACTCCTCCGCCTCGGGGGTAGGCTTGCAGCCTTGTGGGGCAGCGCCATCATCTGTTTGCTGTGTCCGCTCCACTTCTACCTTCATCTGCGAGTCTCCAATGAAGGCACCTTGCTCAGCATGACAAGCCTCAATGGCCTTGCCGTAGATCGCTTGGAGCGGCATCATCACCTTCTGCTGATCTGGACGCATGCCGCCACCGTGTGGTTTGTCGTCCTCGCAGCTTCCTATGAAGTCTACGCTGCACAAAGCCGCTTCCTGACACGGCGTTTCGAGTGGTTAAAGCGAATTCCGGAGCCTAGAGCCACCACTTTGCTTGTGGAGAACCTGCCCTTGGAGTGTCGCTCCGATTTCGCCTTGCACCAGTACTTCGCCCGGCTCTTCTCACGGGACGCCATCTCCAGGGCCTACATCGTCAGGCGCACGGACCGGCTCCGACGCCTCTTTCTGGACATGGAGAGGCTCGCCTATGACCTCCACTGTGCTCAAAACCTGCACAGTCTGTCAGACGAGCCGGCGACTGGCAGTCGGCAGAGCTTGCAAAGCGCCTGGTGCTGCTACCGGCGGGACGATGTTGGCTTTTACACACGCGAATTGGAAGCATTGCAAGAGGCCTTTGCTAAGGAACGACAGGCAGTGGAGGAGGGGGTGATGGCCATGGACCCCCAAGTGTGCAGCTGTGCGGGTTTCGTGACTTTCACATCGAGACGGCGCGTTACCCAGCTATGCGTTTGAGAGCTGGTGCATGGCAGCACGGACACTGCTTGGGTCTCTTCATTCAGTGTGACTCAGGATGTGCATGCTGGCAAGGCAGCCCCAGTATCGCGCAGACTCCTCACAACTCACGGTGGCGATGCCTCCAGATCCGGAAGACGTGAGGTACCACGATTTGGCCAAAGATCCCCAGCTGCAGGCCACACAGCTAGCAGAGACACAGGAGCTTCCTCTATTTCATCTATTTCTTGGCATGTCGAAAAGGCATGTATCCGTGAGCAGAGTAACAGGGAGAAGGAGACACAGAGAGAGCTTGTGCCTGAGAGAAGCAGAAGAGAAAGAGCACAGCAGAGCCACAGCAGACCTGTGCGCAAGCCGAATGGAAGCACAAAGCCCGGAAGACCTTGAACGAGTTGCAGGTGCGGGCGGGGGAAAACGAGGGTAATTGAGTGTGTGTTGCTCGTGTGTTAGTTTGTTTGTGACCAGTCGGTTGTTACGTTTTATTTTATGCATTCATTCATTCATAAGCTTGATGTGTTTTCATGTACTGTAATATGCTAAGAGATAGACAGGTGGCCAGCTAGGTAGCTGGATACCTTGGTAGGGAGGGAGGTAGGGAGGAAGACAGGTCGACAGGCATGATCGGTTACAAAGTTGGTTACTACTGTCGGATGCGAGAGAGAGCATGGCACGAAATGAAAGCGCACGAGCTCCCCTGGCCGTTGATCTGCTGAAAACGTGAGAGCAAACATACCCACACTGGACGACAACAGCTCCCACTAACATCCCAGCTCGGGGCACCCTTTGTTTTGCAGCGACGCTCTGTCTCTCACTTTCGCTCTCACTCTCAATCACTCTCTCTGACTCTCGTCTCGCACTCTCTCACTCTCTCACTCTTACACACACACACACATCACACTCACTCACTCGCGCATTCTCTCTGGCACTGACACACACACACACACACACACACACGCGGACACGGAAAGTTGGAAATGTTTTCTTTATGCCGAAGGCCAGAGCTGACGACCAAGGCACAATGCCTACTCGCCAGCGACTGTTGACATGTCGCTTCATGTGCCAAAGGGTGCACGGAGCAGAGCATGAAGTGTTTTCCTTCCAAACCACAGCCGGCCTGAACCCCAACGTACCGAAGCCGAAGACAAGGCTGAAGACTGAAGAACACGGCATGATGTTTGAGAGATCCCTCGCTCCAGACATGGCAATATGGCGGTTCAGAGACACATCCCTTGTAACATAGGGATCCTCGGCTTAGCCCCATGCCATCCATTGCGCTATAGAATGAAGATACGCAGCTTCGGACGAATACCGAACCATATACGGCCATTACCAGGATGTCACAAGCGATGTCCGCAGGTATGTGGATTGAGCGTCCCCAGTCCCTATCACGACAAACTGCACAGGTCTTCGTTGGGCAGTGCCTTCCAG